ACTGGAGGTAAGATCAATGATTTGTCTTCAATTAGAAGAGACTACACTTGATGATGGTGATGATACAAACCGTATTACACCACCTGACAGAGGATGGGCTTTGCCAAAAGAACGAAAGTATCATGTCTGAATGAATCTCAGATACAATATCTCACTGACGGCTTGTCCACGTAACTCCGCTGGCAGAGATGTCATAGCGTTACTTTTTTTGCTCATTTTATTTTGAGCATAGTTCCGTTACGAAACGTTCTAGAGAGCTCGGGAACATCTCAAATTGAAGAAAAAATTGTTTTAAAGATTTTGAGATGCATCCGCCACCTGAAAAATGTTTTCTTAAGAATCTACATGCAAAGTGGTGAGACCTACCTTTTACGGAAAAAAAACAGAAATGTAGCTCTCCACATTTTCATCACAGCTTTTCGAAGGAACACTTTTCAGGAGGCGGACAAGTCTTGAAATCTTTAAAATTTTTTCTTCAATTTGAGATGTTCCCGAGCTCTCTAGAACGTTTCGTAACGGAACTATGCAATGACAAAAAAAGGTAACGCTATGACATCTCTGCCAGCGAAGTTACGTGGACAAGCCGCTGAGGAGTTCGATGAGGGTGTACAACAGAGAATTCGATGGAAACCGGAGGAAGTTTCAGCTGAAATGCAACGAAAGAACGATTTGAAGGATAGATTCTATTTCACACCGGCCGAGTTTTTAAAACCTGGCCTGATCAGATCGTTTTTTTCACGTTTGAAGGCGATAAGTGAAAAGCAAACAGAAACAGTAGTTGTAGACGAAGTGAAGGAGGAAGATGACGATGAATTTGACGACAATCAGGTAGTTGAAGAGACTGAGCAAAGAAATAATTTAAGAAATTCAATGGGAATTAGCAATGAACAATCATCACCTCCAGCTGCCTCTCAAAACCGAGCAGTGTCACCAGATAAAAGAGCTGGATCAACGACTGATGTTCGTCCAGCAAAAACGTCCGTCATCGAGGAAACGTACTGGTGTCAAATAAAGTATTGAAATATTTATAATATATCTGTCTATAACCACTTCTACTTTCTTCAGTGTACTTGATTTAATATAAAAAGTGCGTTTTTTCATGAAAGATTGCACTTTTAAAAAAAATGATCGTACAATTACTTTGATGGTAATAATTGCAAGCAATTTTTCGACATGTTCCTGAGATTGTGAAAGAAAGTTTTATAGCTCATTGTATAGAGAATTGTGCGCTCTAAAAAAACGCACTGACTTACATTTTGCGGGAAATCTACTGGATGGAGAAAAATGAACTTTATTGAAAAAGTTTTGTTTTTCAAATTAGTCATTTTTCAAATGGTAGGCTTCTGAAAAATCCAGTTCCCGGTCAAAAAAGTTTAGAAACATCTGATTTTGTTCATTTTTTGATGGACTTTGGAATGAGACGTCATTCGAATAGAACGGATAAAATTTAACGAAGTTATAGGCAAAAAATCACGGAGGCGCTTTTTTGAAAATCTTCGATATACCTAATTTTATAAATTCTATAGCTCGGCGAAATCAAGTCCAAACGACCTTAAAAATTTTTTTTATAACCCCAGTTTTGATCATAGAATCCAAAACTGGAAAAATATATATAGGTCAAAAAGTTTCACTTGACCGACTTTTGGCACTATGGTTGATGTGGTGGCAAAATGTCTCTTAAGGACGGCTGCCTAATATACAATGATGAATTTTCAAATCTTCTGATAAATCCATAAGCAACAAAAAGCTATACATTGTTATATCATTCACTGTTCTTCCTACCGCACTATCCATGATCGACAATGCCTCCCGAATCATATATGTTTATATTTACAGCAAACAGGACGAGGAAGAAGACTTTTCTTGGCGGTTCATTTAAGGAGAAAAATGCACTTCTGATCAAATTAAACAAAAGATATTACACAGCTATTTGGAACAGAAATGAACATAATCCCGATGCCAGAGTTCTCGGAAATAACTGAAACATCAACACGAAACTTATACAAAGAAAGTGGTACGTTTATGTGGATTCAACTGATAGTTAATCTGTTACTTTCAATGTCGACTGATTCACCTGCAATGAATGAATTAATAGAGAAATGTCGTCGTAGTGCAAGAAAAAACTGATGAATTTGTATGTATTTATCAGCCACAAAATGCTGTTTCCTGGTACACAAAAGACACCTTCTTCTATCGTTTATTGAATAAAGCGTTTCGAACACGAGATTTCAATGAAATATATTCGTAACGTTTATTCATTATCGATTTACATAATCAACTGAAAGAATTACACTTAAAATTTGCGCTGATTGTTCTGGGTGGTAATTATCCTCGGATTGTTTATCGAGGACAGTTGATGTCGCAGACAGAATTTGACAACATGAAAACTAGTACTGGTAAACTAATTTCAACACATAGATTTCTATCAACAACAACTAACTAACATTGATGTTGCAAAAATGTATTCAGGATATAGTGCTCAGGAAACACTCCTATCTGTTCCATTTGAAATCGAAATAACTTCGAAATTCAATTGTAAAACTTCGTTATTTGCCAATATTGAAGACTTCAGCCAGTTTCAGAAAGAATGTAAAATGCTGTTTACCATGAATGCTGTTTTTCGATTAATATCAATTAAAAAATTGCAAAAAAAAGAAAAAATATGCCAGGTGAAACTGCTATTAGTTGAGCGTGACAATGAACTCGAAAGTCAACATATTACCGCATTAATTCAACAGAGGGAAAGCAGTTTTCGTGTGACATCACCTAATCATCTATTTGTCTTAGGTGCTTCTTGTTTGGCAATGCTCGACAATGGCAATGTGGAAAAATATTTCATAAAAATTTTGAATCATTCTCATTCAGTAAATGACAACAATTTCGAATTGATGACAAAAACCTATGAATACTTTGCCTTAGTCTGTAAATATCAAACGAACTATGAAAAAGCATTAGTTATGTTAGAAAAGGCATTGAATCTCTATCTGACTCATTTTAGGACAAATTATTTTCTATTAGTCGATGTGTATGATAAATTTGCAGCTCTTTATCAAAAAATGAAAAATTATACTGCTTCAGAAAAGTATTATGAATTAATGATTGACATGCAACTACGATACAATTCACCTAAATATAAGCTAATCAGTTTGCTCAATAACTTAATTTCATTTTACAGAGAAATGGGTAATTATGAGAAGGCATTCACAATGTCTGAAAAAGCACTGGAATTAAATTATCAAACTTTCCCACCGGATTACGCATTACTCTCGCAAAGTTTTACAGCCATAGGACACCTGTATTTAGATAAGAATTACGACAAAGCTTTCCATTATTATTCAATAGCTCTTCACATTCAAACTAATTACGCTTTGATCAATCGATTTCTATTTGTTGGTTCTGACTACTCTACTACGAGTTTTATTTGTTGGCTGAAAAAAGACTACCAAAGTGCGTTGGCTTACTATGACAAAGCATTAGAAATTTATTCTAAAACTGAGTTTGATAATGACAGTAACTCTTTTGTTGAACAAGTTTGGCATTGTATTGAAGACGTTTACTTTGATACAAATAATTATACGAAAGCTTTGTTGTATTATGAAAAAGCATTTGATATATGTACAAAATCAAACTGGATAACAGGTGTGGCGTTAGGAAATATTTCAGTGAGTCTAGTTAAAACCTATACGGTACTTGGTGATCAACACTCGATACGTGCTCCAATGAAAGTACGAAATTGACTGATGATTTCTACTCACAACGTCGTTTTAGTTGCACGCAGTTATACTGGTACCCAGAATATGATTCAACGGGAAATACACCAGCGATTCCTTATATAGTTTACATTCGTCAAGAAGGTTACATAGTTACATGGACATATGTCTATGATCATACGTTCAAGGGACATTATGTGAACGAAACATATATTGCGGTTGCCTTGTCAAGGCTCAATCGTGGAAATTATTGCTCAGCGACAGTGAATATTCAAATAACTGTCAAACATCATAGATCCTATTATTTCAACTTTTTTTGTTGATGTGCAATTTTCTATTTTTTCTCAAGTCACCAGCTAAATT